ATAAATTTAACTAGTTATTTTAAAATATGACTTTATTATAATAATTACAATGATTTTTACTTGTTGGAATATTTTAAGAAATTATCGTGTACTGTTTTAATAAAAAATGTTGCACTTCAAACAAGATCTGCTTGAAAGAAAATGTTTTTAATATAATCTTATGATATGATTCTAAGTATACAATCATTTATCAACAATAAATAAAAATAGCAAATCATTTTGTGAAACTGTTAAATAAGCAAAATATTATATAGTTTGCTTTCCAAGCATATTAATTTGTTAATTAGGGCATTAATTTAAAAAAGTTTTCAGGTAGAAAAAGCTACGAAAACTGTTTGAGGAAGGCAGTAAGGAAGGTGAAGATACACCCTGATTAAAGAAGCAAAATAGTACATGTAATTTTTGAATCTGAATAATTTATCTAAAAATGTTTTCTTCATTTTGAAAATGTAGTGTGTTTTTAGCAATATCAAAACTGATCAATAATTTTTATAAGAATATATTCAAAATTAAATAAATTGAAGATATTAAATTAAAAAATTAATAATAAATCATAATAATACTGCCAGTTCATGCACATATAAATTTGAGTGTATTTAAAGTTTGTTACTTACAAACCAAATACAATGTACAAAATAACATTATGTATTCTTAAATTTTACAATTTTTTTTGTACAGTAAGATCTTGCTAATTTGAACAGAAAAAATAAACTCTCTCTGAACAAAATGTGTTGTTGCAGTTATCTTCTGCTGTTCAAAATACTGTACATGTGCCTTCATCCTCAAAATGAATTTAAAATGTTTTTGGAATATAAAATTAAGGCTAGTTTCTTGTCTTTTCCTTCATGTATAAAATACTCGTATTTTAAAACTTAAGTGTATGAGCCAAATTTGTCAATTCTCAAAAATATAATATGATGTAATACAATAGATAATTTCAACTTCAGTAAATTGAGAACCCTATATTAATATATACAAAAAAATAGATTGAGAAAAAGAATTTCCAGTAATCTGAAATACTTGCTAATCAGACCAAGTTCAAGTTCAGATTAGTGAGGTTCTACTGATTTTACAATAACAAATAAGCATTAAAATAAAGAATATGGTGAAATTAATTTTATAATGAAAGTAAGAGTCAATGTATTAATGTTTATTATATTATGAATCAATAGATTATTCACATATAATTTATAATTCTATAATAGTTATAACTTAAACAAAAATACAATTTTAAATAATTTATTATAGGAAAAAGTGTGGTGTTTTTTTTATGTAATTGAAGATGAGGACTTGGTACATTGCACAATAATATTTCATTAAATTTGTATTGTAATGGTTAGATCTTTGTTTTAAATTTATTGAAATTATTAACAAATGTCAAATTGTATAAAAATCAGATATTTTAACAAATATATATTTTTAAAATATAAATTTTCATCACATTAATCAGAACAGAATGTATGAACAGAATTCAGATCATTAAATGTATATAATTACTTGCAAACATTTTTTACAGTGTATAAAATAAGTGTTTAAATTTTTTTTTGGTAACCTCTTGAAAAAAAAAAGATGTGCAGTTGTTTTTGTTTTAATTTATACTAAAAATGTATGAAATAATTATCAATATATTTAAGTGCTGTATTTTTTGTTGCTATTTATAATCAATATTATATAGAAAAAATTGTATCTTTAGAAACATAATCTCAACTCATGGCACATCAAATTAAGTTTATTTGGTCTCACTTTTATTTGATATTGACATTAGTAAAATGTAAAAAGTGTTTAGGTTATATTTATCCATTATAAAGAAGGAGTTTCAAATGTTAGAAAATTAAATTATTCAAAAATTATTTTTAAAGTAAGAATTAAAATTATATTATAAAGACTATTAAATTTAATGTGAAATATAAACAGACTTTTCCAAACAGCAAAATGATAAATATGGTAAGAAATTATGTGCTTATTCTGTTCACAACATCATTATGTGAAATCACTCTCAACTGAATCTGAGACAAACTATATCGGAAAATAGGACAATTTAATTTATCATAGTGTTCCAGAAACCAATTATGTTGTATAAGTAAATCTTATATCCTTTAAAAATAATTAGAATAATAGGATTCAATTCAATAGTCAGAGAGCTAAAATTAATCATCAGACTAAAACAAAATAAAAATTTACTTTGTTTAAAAACTTTATAAATTAAATTACAATGAAATTAAATTTTAATAACTTCTCATAGTGGTAAAAAAATAATTACAATATTAGAAATCTTAACTTTAAAATTTTTCCAGTCAAACTGTTTTTTAGTTAGTTATTAGAAAGTATTCCTCACCATCCATTTAATGCAAGATTATAAATTTTAGAAATGTCTGGACAAGTGTTGTCTGAATACAAATAAATTTTTTCTCTAAATTCATATATAATTTTGGATTATATAACCATACAGTTTATACTCTGTCAAATGAGAATGTTGCTTCCAGTCCTAAAAAAATATTTTTTATCTCATATTATACTTACAATATTTATTATTATTTTGTATTCTTTCTATCCTATGATTGTTAAGAGGGCATCCTAGCATACTCATTAAAAGTTTATCGGGTCAAAGGGCACAAAAACCAAAATTTTGTATCATTCTATTATTTAGTATAATTCTTAATACATGCTACTGCATAGCTTTTCTTTCCTAGTTATAAAAAATTTGTAAATGGGCTTTGAAAATAACTCAATTCTTATTAATAAACTTTATAACTGAAATAATTTCTAACTTTATATCAAACAAACATTAAAATTACTCAAATGTTTTATAATACATAAATTATCATTTTATTTTATATATGGTTTTATTTGAGTATGTTATGTCACAAAGAGATATGTATAAAAAGCTATCTCCTGTTTTTCCTCAAACAAAACATCTAAAACAGTTTTGCTTATTTCCTATAGACAAGGCTTATACAAAAATAGCAAGGCTATCACTCTATAATGAACATTCAGAAGTGGCCTTATCTAGGCATAAAATGCAATGCCCAGTCTCACAAATTTTATAGTATATTTTAGTATTTAAAAGTACTACAAAATCAATAATCAATAATTGATAGTACAAAAAAGTATATCAATTATCAGTAATTGTTGAAAATATAATTATACTGGTATCTGTTCTATCTGAAGAATGACTATTCTCAAAGATAAAAATGATGAAGAACCGTGGCAGCTTGTGGCTGTCTCAAAAAAGTGCATCATATACAACTTTAATAGAATCTTTTTGATTTCATATAATGTTTTGGTTGGTGCTAGTTTTGATAAAAACATTAATTTTTACTGTAGATAATAATTTATATACTTACAAATAATAAAAATGAAGACTTTTTTGAATTTTCTTTTTCTTTTGGGGTATTGCAGTTCTGCAGTTGCAGTTTTGGGGTGTTTTTCTTTTGGGGTGCTTATCAAGAGCACTGCTGATCAAGACACTTAAAAAAAGGGGATTACAAGAGAGACTTTCTTCACTTTTGATCTTGTCCATTAAAAAAAATATTGCTGCAGAGCTGTACATTTTTCTCTGTAATTGATAAATTCAGCACTGCTAAAAGCAGAAGAGCAGTTCTGTAAGTGTATTTTCCAATTTATTGTAAAACTATTGTACAAATTTTATTTTATTGGATGTTTTACTGTCTGTTTCTGTATTAATTAAATTACTTATATTATGATAGATCTAAATAAATCTACTTCTACCTCCATCATTCTTTTAATGGTCTCAAAAATAAACTTTGCCTAGGATCTCTCAAATCCTAGGGTAGCTTCTGTGAATACCACTGAATGGATCTTCTCCATAAATATTAAGTAGCAAACACTTCAGTATGTGAATATCGACTCTAAAATTTTGCATTGGAAATACTAGTTATCATTAAATTAAGTGACTTTCAAACTAAAACTTCAAACAAGTGCATATAACTGATAACTGATCTGCTTTGTATAATTCTTATTGCATGAGCTATTTCTGTTTAGTGTCACACTTGATTTAGTATCAGTTTCTGAGGTAAACAAATGGTGGTGTTAAATCAAAATTTGATTGAAGTAGGCTAAATAGTAAACAGTATATTACAAGACTAATTCAAAAAGTAAGGTAACAAGAGCTCTCATGGGTGTCATATACCTCCTCTTGTTCGAATTTTCCATTAGGGCTGCAGTGGAAGACCACAGCTTTATCACACAGGCATTGCTTGGCCAAATGTTGTATCAGATTCTCACAATATCATCTTGAAGATGGCTGCGCTCACAGAAACGTAGTCAAACATGGACGTGCATAGTGTGATTCGGTTTCTGCATCTAAAGGGCAACTCAGTAGAACACCAAAAGAAATTCATTGTCAACTTGTTGAGGTGTATGGTGATAATGTCATGTCACAAAAACAGGCATGGGTTTAGTGCACTGAGTTCGGTAAAGGCAGGTCAGATATGCAAACTGAATAAAGATCTGGTAGGCCAAACACGTCTTCCACAGATGACAATCTGTGCCATATTGAAGGTATGATTCAGGAATGATTTCCATCTCTTCAGACCATTCAAGAAGCACTTGGATGGTAGGTGATTCCAAACTGATATGGAAGTTCAGCAAGCCATCACGAAGTGGCCAAAGGGACTCAACGCAGATTTCTTCTCTGCCGGTATCAATGCCTTGTTATATCATTGGAATAAATGTTTGGACAAGCATGGTGACTATGTTGAAAAATAATATGTAACAGTGCCATAATAATCTGTATCACTATATCTGCCTGTGAAATAAAATTTGTACAGGGGAGGTCTTTTACTTTACTTTTTGAATCACCTACATATTTACATAAAGAACACAACAGATAATGATTATTTCAAAGGTTTGCTATATTGTAACATACTGATAATATATACTTATATAATCTAGTTTGTATTGCAAAAACATCAAAATCTAACAACAATTTTAATAAAAATTATATTTGTTTACAACATATATTTATTTGTATAACATACCTGAAATAATTTATTTAAATGATGACCGAAATATTTAAGTTGAGGATAGACACAGCATATCTCATTCAGACAGTCTAAACAAGTCTCCAAATTGCATTGAAATTCATCATTAGAAACATTTTCATCTAGTAAGTGATTTGTTAGTTTTAAATATTTCACTAAAGTTCGATAAAATGTGAAATCTTCTTTATCTTGAATACTAGATTCAACTAATTGTTGAAAAAATTCTACAATGAATAAGAAAAAAATATATATTAATCAGTATTAAAGATTCAATTTAATTTATTCACAGTTAGTAAAAATTATTGGGACAGCATAAACTTATGTAAAAATATTTTGAATTTCAAAAATTTTATGACAATATTTTTAAAGATGTAGCACCACAATACTGTAAAAAATATTAATAAAATAACTATTTTGAATAAAAATTCAAATAAAAATCTTCCTAAAACAAGCTTTTAGGCAGATTGAATTGTAGATTCCAAAAAACATTAAACAAAAACAGAAAATCTGGAGTTCTTAAAACAAAAATAGTAATTCTTGAATAAAATAATATTTACCAAAAGTTTTTAATATTTCCAAATATTTATTGCAATCTTATCTCAAAAACAATAAAAATTATATCTGTAAGTTACTTTGAAAGTAAAGAAATTATTTCATCAGTACTAATATTGTTTATATGAAACAAATTCAATAAATAAAGTTAGTAGTGTAATTAAAAACATAATGCAGCCTTGTACCAATAGTCATTGCTGCCACGTGGAATTTGTGTTCACAATGCGGTTTACAAAATGATGATGTTCATATCATTACAGAAATAAAAAAAAATAATGGTTGAAATATTGAAATATTCTGTAAGGTAAATATTTTAAATTTTTAGTACATGTATAATTGTAAATTTATTGTATTTATTGTATATTTACTAGAGTAACAAAAAGTTTGCGCTTTGTTTGACTTGTTTGGAAGAAGAGGAAGAAAATACTGTAGTTTCCAAATGCAACTGGGTAAAATAAAGTTGTCGATCGACTAGTATTTTTTGAATCTGCGGATGCAATAATTCCTAGAGAATAATGGCGTTCAAACCCGTTACATATCGAGAAATGCCCATAAATTAAAAATTTTGACGATTTCTCGAATTACGACCGAGTCAGTTTATTTTTTAACTTCAAAAAATTATAGTTTGACAATGCTTTTATCCTTTAAATCAGGGCTTCTTAAACTATGGGTTGCGACCCTATTTGGGGTCACTTAGCGGAATCTTGGGGTCGCGAGATTTTAATGCAAAATATTGAAAATAATTTGCGAGAATTTGAAAATGGCACGCTTTGTGTCATAGGTTTCGTAAGTTCCGCTTTGTGTCACTTCTGGTGCAGCAAGACAATGATTCAGCAACACTGATTGTAGTCTGAACTAGTGTAGTAATTGTCGCTTTTCAGTGTATTCAGTTGTCTCCGTTCCATCGTAACACAAGAGTGAACTGTGGTAGTACACTATTATTGTTTTTGCAAATTTGTATATATTTTTATTTTATATTTTTTGGGTTGCGAAAAAAATCACAATCATAAATGGGGTTGTGAATAAAAAAAGTTTAAGAAGCCCTGCTTTAAATCAGTGGTTTCCAAAGTGAGCACCACCACCCCCCGTGGGCGGCGAGTAAATCTAGGAGGGAGAAAAGAANGTAACACAAGAGTGAACTGTGGTAGTACACTATTATTGTTTTTGCAAATTTGTATATATTTTTATTTTATATTTTTTGGGTTGCGAAAAAAATCACAATCATAAATGGGGTTGTGAATAAAAAAAGTTTAAGAAGCCCTGCTTTAAATCAGTGGTTTCCAAAGTGAGCACCACCACCCCCCGTGGGCGGCGAGTAAATCTAGGAGGGAGAAAAGAAGCAAGTGGGTGGCAGGGTATTGGACTGTGACCATAGGCAAAGGTTGAGGTCACCGACAACCTTTTCCTTTCCTCTGTTAAATGGGTAAGAAGAAATATTGCATTTAATGGTTTCCAGATGTCGAGAACAATGTATGGTAAAGACACAAATCGTGAGGTTCATAGAAAATATTTCCAAGTCTTTCTCACACAAGGGAAAATGGGTTAGGGGGAGCTGGATCGAAAAGCTTTAAATGATCCCCTATGAACTGACACGTGCCAATACCTACAGTATATACAGATGCAAGATCTATATGACTTATAATTACAGTGACCATATTTTTTTGGGGGAAAATAAAGGACATATCGAAGAAAATCAAAAAATCCTTATAAAATTCATAAGTTTATAACATTTATTACGAAAATAGTAGCATACAACAATGCATACATTAAAATTTTAAACAATCTGAATTATTACACATACACACACTGTAAAAATTTAAATAACATTAATTTTGATACTTTTCAGTAGAATTAATTTTTTTTTTTATAGTGCCGTTTCACGCTTTAAAGTCATAAAATTCCATACAGTTCATTTGAAAGTTGTATTTGATAGCAATACATGCTTCTAATGTGCTTACTTTTAAATCAGTTTTTTCATTCGTCCACATATTATTCAGCAATGAAAATATTCGTTCAATGGGGGCATTAAGATCCAGGGAGACAAAGAAAATTCTATGATTTTACAAATGTTTTTGAAAACAATTTCTTTTGCTGTAAAATGTTCAAAAATCTCAATCCACCTTTGACGGCAGGGCTGATTATTCTGTCACCATTTGTCGATCTTTTCGTTTGTGAGATATTTTTTTACACACGAAACTTCATCAAATAATTCACAGTCGAGTATATTTACGGACCAATGATTCGAAATAAAGATATAGCTTTCCTCTACTTTCGCCCACAAAGAGATTTCGCATAATGTGACCCATTCAAACACATCTATTTCAATAAAAACATGTCCCAATTATTTAGATAATCTATGCACATTTGATAAAATGTGTACACGGCATCATTGAATTTTTTGGCTTGTATATTTTCTGATTTTTCTAATGCTAAAACCACTTTTCTAATAACAATAGGAAGAAACCCCTCATTTTTTCTTTCAACTAACTTCAGCTTTAATTAACAAGTGTATCATCCATCAACTAGAGAGTTAAAAAACTATCACAAAAATCCCCATAAGAGTGTCCACCCCCTGGTACTGTCAGTGGGCCGTTTGGTTGGCGACACACTGCACTACTGCGCTCTATGTAGCAATGCAACACTGGTCGTGATGGCGTATACAAAACTAACTTGTTCAATATATTATTTTAAAAAATTTTTTTAACTTTGCGTCAACTTTACAAAATAAAGGACAAAATGCCTATTTTAGAAAATAAATAAAGTTAAAGGACAGAGCAGTGAAATAAAGGACGTATGGTCACTGTACTTATAATCAATAGCATTTTATATACCCAACCAAATACTTATTTTTCATTGGTATAATAAAAAATATCTGAATTAGAAAGTTATTTTTAAAACTGATTGTACCTGATTCTATCTTAGGATAAAGTTTATTCTCTTCAGGATCCTGTTCGATGAGTTGTGCACAATATTCCCAGCATAAAAATTGACTAACCCATTCCCAAACGATTTGCCTTTCTCTCGCGAATCGATTAAAAACAGACATTTTTTAACACTAATCAATTTATTTAATGCAACTTGTCAAACCATGCTTCGCGCCACTCAGACACGTGCAGCGACAGAGACCTCTACCAACATTGAACAATTTGGCTATCTGGCTACAAAATTGTAAAAACATAAAAATCAATATTAATAATAAACTAAAAATATAATAGGAATAATTTAAAAGTTTATTATATTAATACTAATAATAAAATATAAAAATTAATACTATAATAATTTTAAAAATTTTAAAGTTAAATTCTAGATATGTGTATTGTTTTTTAAAATTGTTTAAATGTTTTTTGTAATTAAATTAACATGATTAACAATAAAATAAATATAGCCAAACCTCGATTTACGAACTTAATTTGTTTCTAAATGTTGTTCGTAAATCGATTTGTTCTCAAACCGAAACAAATTTTCCCATAAGAAACGATGTAAAATGGATTAGACCGTTTCCGACCCACAAAACAAAACCTGTTTTTTTTACTTTTTAACTGTATTTCATCCATAAATATGCCTACAAATGCAACGTAATATTATAACATACCAACTGAATAACGAGTAGAGTTTATTACGTTTTTATTTATTTATTTATTTTATACATAATTAGGAACTGTCAGCCGACAAAAGTCATCCACCCCAATTAAGAAAAACCCCAACAATGAATTACGGTTGAAACCATAAATGTATCAAAGAATATAAAAACACGATTTACGAAATAACGCGGTATATGTTAATGCATTAATGTACTGTACAGTACATTAAGGGTATAAGCAAATATCTAGCGTGCGTTATTAGATGAGTTTTAATAGTTAAGGACAGTTCCAATTGATAACGAAGGTAAGACACACTAGAAGATTCCACTTTAAATAGAAGTGGAGGCAAAACTCGGTAACTGCTTTTGAGGTATTAATCACAAGACGAAAATCTCATATGGAGATTATCGGTTGTTGATCATGTAAGGCCCCAGATTGAATTCGAACCTAAAAAAGTTTATAAAAATTTGTAATAAATAATTAACGTGAAGAGGAGACAGACAAACGATTCCGCAAAGTGTCGAGTTTACATGCGTCGAAGTCGGCGATGCCAAACTTTGACACCATCGCTCATATACAATAGCGAGAAGAAAACTTGATCGGGAAAAGAGAAGGTCTGACAAACAAAAGACGTAGAAAAAAGTATGAACGTTCTAGAATGTTACAAAAGGAAATAACAAGTGAAAATATGAGCGCAAGTGTCTTGGTACTGTCGGCCAGAGTCGAGAGATGGTGTCGGATAGACCATCCCGGGCAGACCTTTCTCGCGACCCGAACTTATCAATTTTCACCTGAAGACAGGTGCGAGTTCAATCGGGGAGCGAGGAAAGGAAAGTCCAGCCAATCAAAAAAGAATTAGAAAGGAAAATATCTATAAAACTCCGAACTTTAAAAAAAAGACGAGCACAAAGTCTGGACATCAACAAACTAGTAGTAGTAGGCTACTGTACTTTTAAACCTGCGTCATCCGACGATTCTGGGTCGCCAGAGCGAAATCGTTATCGCTCCCAGTCACTGACGATTTCCCCTTTCCATCCTGTGCCCTCTACTTTCGAGATTCATCCGAAAGTAGAGGTGCACATCCGAGATTCATTCATCGATCGCCATCTCGTCACTGACCCTGGGCTGTCGTCTCAACTCTCCTCACCGGAAGATGAACATCAAATGAAACGAAATCTAGAACGAACATTCACGCTCCCTGAAGGAACTTAGCGTCCACTGATGTAAGCAACTTTCTTAGTTTTAAATAAACGGGTTTCTCTTTTAAAGGTGCCTCGTATCTGTGCCTCCGACACCCCCACTCACCAGCGAAAATAAACCTATGGTTGTTCTGACGGGATTAATGATTCCATCCTTTTTGGTCCCCTCACAATCATACATAGACAAGCGAGTATGGGAGTTGATGAATTCACCAGTATATTGAAAAATCTGCGTAGCTTAAGCAGTTATGTGATCTGATTTCAGTCTTCCTGGCAATAATAAATGCAGAAAGCTGTAAATAACAAATGGTTGTTTCAATATTGTTAATTAATGTTTTAAAAAATGACACTCACACCATCAAAGGCATAAGCAAATGTAGTTTATAGTTTATAAGCAAAAAGTTGTAAATTGTCTTTCTTTATGAATAAGAAAGACAATTTCATTCATCCTTATCCTCGATGAGAAGTCTTGATGGCGCAAGTGGAGGGTGGAGGAGAGGTGGAAGAGAAGGGATGTTATTTCTTGAAATGGAAGTTCCCCTTCATAATAACAGCAAGTGACTGCGTTTCAGGAGTTTCTTCTCTTACCTTTTGGATTTTCTGCTTCTCACTAGCAGATTCTGCCTGGGACTCATTAGACCTCTTTTCACTAAAAATTTATCTAACGAAATTTGTTTTTGCCTCCGTTTCACGATGTTACGGAGCATTGTCATTGAAAAGGTTAATGAGACGGTTGGCTATTGCCTTATCAGAATTATATCTTTCGACAAAACTTTGCGCTTTACCCCATTTTGCACACGTCATTAATAAGAGCACTAGTCGCATCCTCTCTTCCCTCTTCTTCCTCCAAGGGCATCTCTTCAAGCATATCTGCTGCTCCTTTTGAATTAGTTTGAGTTCGTAGGTAGACAACTCTGTGTCGTGTTCCTTCACCACCTCTTCGACGTCAGCATTGTTGACTTTCAGGCCCACGCTTTTGCCCAGAGATACAAAGTCATCGACAACTCTAGTAGGCTCTGTCTCGAATCCCTCGAAGTCTCTCTCTGCAACACATTCAGGCCAGAGGTTCCTCCAGGTTGAGTTCAAGGTCTTGCGAGTCACTTACTGCCAGGTCTTGTCAATAAGACCTAAGCAAAAGAAGATTATTGAAGTGGTTCTTCCAAAAGTGCTTCGAGGTTACCTCTGACACGGAGTTAACCTCGAAGCACCTATTAAAAACTGTTTTGATGTAATACTTTTTAAAGTTAGAAATGACGTGATTCATCAGCTGAATCAGCGGAGTCGTATTAGGAGGCAGAAACTTCACGGTGATGAAGTCGAACTCTTCCAGTAACTCGGCCTCCATGCCTGGAGATGGGTAGGAGTATTATCCATCAAAAGCAGGCACTTCAATGGCAAGTTATTTTCATTAAGATATTTTCTCACACTAGGAGCAATAACTTCATGGACCCATTCCAGGAAAAAACTGTCTGGTCACCCAGGCCTTACTGTTAGCCCTCCACATGACAGACAGTTTTTCATAACGTTCTTTCTCTTAAACACACGGGGTTCTGCGAATGATACACGAGAAATGGTTTCACCTTAAAATCGCCATGAGCATTGTCACAAAACAAGAGTTAACCAGTCCTTCATTAACTTGCGTTCCTCCTTGATTATGTACATTCTGTTCGGCATTTTTTCTAAAACAGTCCAGTTTCATCACAATTAAACACTTGCTGGGGGATAAAACTCAGCAGTCACATACGCACCAAATTCTTTCACAAAGTTTTCCGCATCGTTTTTGTTCGCACTTGAAGTCCCTCCATGCCGAACCACGCTGTGTACGTGATGAAAGTGTTAGCGGAGCGTGGTTAGACAAAGGAAACAATAAACACCCACACACCGAAGTCCAAACAACAAGGATTTTATTTAACAAAACAAAAAGTACAAACAAGGTCTATATAATAGGTCTGGACACGATCCTTTGTGGCAGCGGCCATTTTGGGGCTTATCGATAGAATATACCCTATACGAGGTTGACGGCAGGATGGCCGAGCGGTCAAGGTGGCAGCCTACCGTACTGGGGGAACCTGGGCTCGAATCCAGACGGGTCAGGAAATTCTCGGGGGATGATCCGTTCAGCTATGTCGGGCACCGTCCTTCACCACCCGGCCGACCCATTGTGGGCCTGGCCCAACCCATAATCAGCTCGCTAAAATGAGGCCTTCTTAGTGTCCACAGGGTGGAAAGAATAAAAAAACCCTACACGAGGTTTCCGTTTAAATCGGCCATAATTAAGTGCTCAAAAGGTGAACGAATGAGTTATTGTGTGGTGCAAAAATAAATCTTCGGATGTTAGATTATTTAGATTTTCTGCAGATAAGCAAGATGGGTGCAGATCTGGAGACGGAATAAATGGTAGCGAACTGAACATTCTAAACTGAGTATAATTGCAGATACGAATGACACTTGAGAGGTCTAAAACTTATCAGAGGTTTTTTTTTACTCTTTCCGCTCTGTGGGCACTAAGAGGATCTCCATTAGCAAACCTGTTATGGGTTCGGCCAAGCCCACAACGGGGTGGCCGGGTGGAGAGGGACGGGACCCAACTTATCCGAACGGACTATCCCCGAAAAATTTCTGGGGATTTAGCGACCCGGATCCCCAGAGCGGTAGGCTGCCACCTTGACCGCTCGGCCATCCGCCCGTCAACCTTAACAGAGTTGTAGAGCATGTCTATAGGAGCAACAAAGTCAAAAAACCATACCTCTAAACGTAATTCTTCGCGAGATATAGCCCTCGAAATCAGCCACACTCAAGTCGCACTGTGCACTCCTCTAAGACTATCGCTTTTAGCTATTTAGCCCACTCGACTATGCCGGCTTCGAGTAGCTCACTCGACTGTTCTTGGAATGCTTGATGTTATATAGTTTTAGGGAGTTTGGGGGCTCGCTCGGGCGCTGAGGTCAGCGGCAGCGAGCACCGAAGCGCACGACTACATGTGGAGCGTCTGTCAAGGCGAGCGAGAGTGAGCCTTGATGACGCGGAACATGGAGAATAGGCAATAATACTGGTACACGGAAAAACCATTTATTATTTATTATAGGCACAGATTGCCGTGTCTATAACATAACTTGCTTGCAATCATGACGTCCGAAAGCAAGATGGAAAACGGGAACTGCCACCAATGGGTTCCACATTTAGAGGCAAATATCTCGCAAAGGTCGGTCTTTTCTTTATTCTTTACCAATAAATATCGTTAGAATATCTGATCACCGTGATGTATTGTCTGTTAAGCAGGCGACAGGCTTAGCGGAGCACGCAGCGTGACTCTATATAGCTCCTGGAAGTAGGCTGGAGGCTG